TTGTGTGGCGGAGGCTGGGGTAGGAGCTGATTCATCTGATGCAGGGCCTAGATGGGGACCGATGGCTTCACAGCAAAACACACGGATGAACACTGGGGCTCAGGAGACACCTAATTCCTATGTCCCAGGGACCTCCCACAAGTCACATTTACAACAATTTTAACTGTAATGGACCCAGAAGAAGCTGGGCTTCTTAGGTATCCGATTTTCTTGGAATAAGAGACCCTCCCCCATCATCTCTTTAAACCCGAGGGCTGTAAGTGGTGGTTCACACTAATAATCTCAGGACCCAGGAAGTAGAAATAGGTATACCAACTCCCCCACTTAAACATACTCCCACCACTGGTGGTCTTTAGAAAATAAGGTTTTGAGTTTAGCTCATGTGGCTCCAGACATTCAAAATTACAAACATGTTGAGTGGTGGTGGCACACACCTTTAATCCCAGCACACAGGAAGCAGAGGTAGGCGGATCTCTGTGAGTTCAGGCCAGCCTTGTCTACAAGAGCAAGTTCCAGGACAGGTTCCAAAGCTATAGAGAAACATGTCTCAAAAAAGCAAAACAAAACAATACAAAAAAGTTACAAACAGCTTTCTCCTGAACCCATATAGAGACAACTCCATAACCTCACACCCTCTTCTGACCTCCCTGAACACCCCATGCACACAGCACATGCAGACATGCATTCAAAACCCTCTCACAACACAGTGAAATAAATACATCTTTCTTAAAAAAGGAAAAAAGTCATGTACAGACAGATAACTGTTCAAGGACACGGGGAGGAGATTTTGTCCACATTACCAAAGGAAGAGCTTCGGGAGGGACAAGCCCTGCCCCACTGTGATCTTGGATTTCTAGCCCTGAGGTATGAGAAAATTAATTTCTTCTGTTCAAGTCACCGGGTCTGTGGAATCTGTTAGGACAGCTCAAATAAACAATATAACTTCTCTCTCGCTCAAAGAGAAGGAAAATGCTACATTGTGTCACTTGTTATACAAGTTAAAATAAATACAACTTTCCTGTGGCATCTAGTAAGTCATCTCAAGAAGAGAAATAACTGTATCTTCCCATCAGTCTCCCTCTGCCTCCTCTAAATGCAGCTGAAAGGCACTGAGCATCTCTCTCTCGGAGTGCTGGGACTGCCGACATTCCACAAAGAGTTCGGAGCTCATCCACTGAGAGGTGTGCCCACCATGCGCCTTCATATTTATTTGCTTTTACTGTTCTATCAATCAAGTGCAATTTGATCTTTTCGGTAAATTTTGTTTAATAAATATGCAAGCGTCCAAGTCATTCTTGAAGGCAAGTTGACGGGTATGGTGGGGTTCCATCACTGAGGGCCTTGAGATGCACTTGGCCATAGCATCCCCGGCTTCAGTTTAACACTGCTGCCTCTATTTCTTAGTAGTAAGTAATGATTCAATAGATGCTTAGTCTCCTGAAATCCCTTAAGACAGCTGATCTTTTTTTTTTTCTTAGCCGGTTGCTTTCAAACACTCACTAGGAACCTTTTCCAAACTTGAGAAGTCGCAGGGAAAGTGGTTTGTCCTCACTGACCGTTATCAGGAAGTTTCCTGCCACATGGAGCTCCCCAGAGACCTCAGCAGATCAATGTCGGCTTCCTTGGGGCAAGAACGGAAGCCACAGTCTCACCACCCATCCCAAAGGGGACAGTCTCTCGCCACTGCTTTTCCCCTGGTCTTAGAGGCAAGTTTCCAAATCCAGTTTGCTCTTCTGGAGGATATTGCCTAAGAGAACAAAGCCAGGAGGCAGGGTAAGGCAAGGGGCCTCCAGGCCTCCTCTCTGTCTACCTGGATTGCTTGACCTCTGGGAAGACCTGTCCAAGTCCTGAGAGCCACCTGGCAGGGGGAAAGGAGCAGCCAGGAATTCTGAAACTAGATAACCTGCCTACCCTTCAGTCGGGAGAGATTCAGAGAGACCCTGAAGGGACCCAAAGAGTCATGGTAAATACACAAGAGGCAGGAAAAAAAGCACTAGGTGCTAAAGCACTGGGCAAGATGTCAAGGGGTAGAGGATTTCTGAGAAGGGGTGTAAGCAGAGCTTCTCTGTCCCGACTGCCTACTCCCAAATAACCGGCAGCTGTCCCAATAAGTGATTCGGAGACTTAATATAGATATAAAACACAAATGCTCAGCCAATAGCTCAGGCTTGTTACTAATTGGTTCTTAGAACTCAACCCATTTCTATTAATCTATGTACCACCCCAAAGCTCGTGGCTTTTACCTCTATCCCATTTTGTGTGTCCGGCTTGTTCTCCATCTGGCTGATGGCTCCTGTGACTGCGCCGGTCTTTATCCCAGCATCCTCTGTCTGGTTTTCCTGTTCACCTATAGGCCAGTGAACTTTTTCTTAGCCAATGAGAGTAATACATATTCATAATGTACAAAGACTGTTCCACAGCAAAGGGATAAACCCAGAGGACATCTGATAAATAGCAAGGACTTGGCAGAATGTGAAGAAGGACAGGAGTGGAGGCAGGGACTGGAAGGCAACTGGATCTGGGACAGTGGTTGAGGAAGGTGACCAAGGACATACCTCCGGTTTTGGCTCCTTGCCCAATGTTGGATTCCAGAGCCCTCCCTAAATCCAATAAGAGTTGTCTCAAATAATGTCACTTCCCAGGCACTAGGTTGGGTTGCACACATCTGTTTTTTTTTGTTTGTTTGTTTCTTTGTTTTTTTTTTCGAGACAGGGTTTCTCTGTGGTTTTGGAGCCTGTCCTGGAACTAGCTCTGTAGACCAGACTGGTCTCAAACTCACAGAGATCCGCCTGCCTCTGCCACCCGAGTGCTGGGATTAAAGGCATGCGCCACCACCGCCCGGCTGCACACATCTGTTTGATCTGGGACCAGTTAGAGGGCATAAAGGGGAAAGAATGTGCACTGAGGTGCAGCTCAAATGTTGCCACTTCGAGGGTCTCTTGGAACCACCCACCTGACCCTTCATTCATCTTCACATTGTAGCATCCATGAGGGCCTAGTGTGTGCTGAACACTGTCCTTGGCGCCAAGAGCAGAGACTCTACCACGTTCCAGCATGGACAGATGAAGCAGGCGAACACATGCAGGTCAAGTGTCAAAGGCCATGGAAAAAGTTGTGAGGCTAGGGAGGAAAGCGGGTGTGCAAGAATGGAACCCAGGAAAGTCTTGTCTGAGATGTGACCCCAGAGTTAAGACCGGAAGGAGGCGGACTCAGAGGATGCATAAGACACAGTCAGAGCAAAGAACCCTCAGAGATGAGCCTGCCAAGTCCTGCAATCAGTCCGAGCCCAGGGCGGGTTTGGTCATCACACAGGCTGCATATGAAAACCAGTGGTGAAACTGAGCGTGGTGGGAAACACTTTTAATCCCGAAGGCAGAGGTAGGCAGATCTCTGTGAGTTCAAGGCAAGACTGGTCTACAGAGTGAGTTTTACGACAATCAGAGCTGTTACACAGAGAGATCCTGTCTCGAAAAACCAAACCAACCAAAAAACAAAACAAACCCAACCAACCAACCAAACAAACAAACAAAAAACCAAAAACACATTGGCAGAAGTCATGTGGGAAGGAGCCTAGGGGAAGCCTGTGAGGGAATTCAGATGCCCTCTCCCCAACGGTTCTTAGACAACATGCATTTCTGCTAGCAATAATGTATGAACGCCACTAGTCTTGGTGCTGTGGCATGTTAAGATTTATTTTATATGTATGTAATAGTGAGTGACTGCATACATGTACGTGTATCACTGTGTGTGCTTGGTACCATGGAAACCAGAAGAGGGCATCAGATCCCATGGAGTAACAGGTAGCTGTGAACGGTCTTGTAGGTGGTAGGAATTGAACTTGGGTCCTCTGTAGGAGCAGACGTACTCTTAACTGACGAACCTTCAATGTCGTGGGTTTTTCATTGGATCCTGTCTGCAGTCTCCGAACCCTCAAGAGACTCTGCTAACACTGGTACAGGGCTCCTCATCATTTTCTTTCTTAGTTCAGACCTCCGGGGTAGCTATGGCACTGGTTAATAAGATATAAGTAGGGGGATCTAGGGACTTGGGAATTGTCTTCCAAGCACTGGCCCTACTCTGGTTTCTGTGGCCAGCCCTGCTCAGGTTAGACTGGGTAGGCCACCAGGGCAAGCTGCAGCATTCTGAGCAGGCGATGATAGAAGTCAGGAGCAGAGGGAGCAGAGCTGGTCAGGATCCAGCAGGAGTTCAAATTGGAGGGCAGGCAGGCTATGGTCTCCCTATGGCAAGGGGCAGTGAAGGCGGGTGGGAGGGGCTTGTGAGGGTGAGGGCAGAGAGGGTGGATAAAGGTTTCTAGGGAATTCTGCTAGATGTGGCAAGTGAGAAATGGTCCCTCTTCGTGGTTCCACTGCTTCAAGGGAGCCCATAGTGGAAAGGAGAGGGTCACATCTGGGGAGAGAAGAGGAACTCGCCATTATGCAAAGTGGGTTTATTCACTGACAGAGAAGGCTGGAATTCTGGGCCAGGGGGAGCAGACAGGTGGTCAGGATTTGAAGTGCATCCTGTCAGTTTTCCAGTGTGCTGGTGTGCTCATCCGCCACCTTTAGTGGTGCTCTCCTTGTGTTTCCCTGGCTACCGGAGGGGAGAGCTGGCCCCGTTTCTGAAACCATATGGCCTCCTGCCACTTAAGTGCCTGCCCCCAGATGCCCTTGACCCCTGCTGCCCTATTCAGGCTCTCTACGTGGGGCCGAGTTCGGACGTGTGTGATAGGAGCAGGATCGGGATGCAGTGAAAGAATTGGCTCCAACAGTTGGCCAGAGTGGTTCCGGAGGAGGCCAGCCAAGGCGCGCTGCGCAGGGAGAGCACAGCTGCCTGGGGTAGCCTAGGAGAGGCCTCCGCAGGAATAGGCGGTGCCTTTGAGGGGCGCGTCTCTTCGGGGCGGAGCTTTTGGAGGAGCAGGAGTGGTCTGGGTGGATGGGGCGTGTCCGGGGCGGTGCTCTGCCGCCCTTGGTCGAGCTACACTCCAGCACCAGCCCGCAGAGGCGGCTCCGGAGGGGCGGGGCCGCTCCTCCCTCGGGTCCGCTGCGAGCCCGCACCTCCCAATTCCCGGAGCCGACGAGGGCTAGCGGCGGCTGCTCCGCTGGGCTCCAGGTTGGGCTGCCGGGCACTGGGCCAGGGCGGGAGGGAGCGGGGCGACGACTTGCGCGGAGGGCGGCGGCCTGGGCCCGCCGAGCCATGGCGGCCCCGGAGCCGGCGCCAAGGCGAGGCCGGGAGCGCGAGCGGGAGCGGGAGGACGAGAGCGAGGACGAGAGCGACATCCTGGAGGAGAGCCCGTGTGGCCGCTGGCAGAAGCGGCGGGAGCAGGTGGGCACGGGTGCGGGTGACGCCGCCGTCCCGAAGCCTAAAGCTGGAGGCCACGGGGCCATTGGGGTCCGGGCAGCCTGACGGTCTCCCCTGACACCCTGGCCTCTGGAGGCCCTCGGAGCCCTTTGGCCCCACGCCCTGGTGAGAAACCCCCATTCCTTGAACACCACTGTCATCCTGGGACCACCTCCATGTGCCTCTTGGATCCCCTGCTACCCCTCCGGGGATCGTCCTCTACCTTCACATCCTGGTCCACCCCTGGACACCACCCCTATCCTCCTAGAGGGTAGATCCCCAGCATCACCCACCCCCAGCTCTCCCTCTGAGCTGGGCAGGGCTGGCAGCACATTCATGGTTGGGGGAAGGTGGCAGGGATCACGTCCACACCCTGACTCTATTCGTATTGGGACACACATCCTTCCCACCTAGGTGAACCAAGGAAACATGCCGGGGATTCAGAGCACCTTTCTGGCCATGGACACCGAAGAGGGGGTAGAAGTGGTGTGGAACGAACTCCACTTCGGGGATAGGAAGGCCTTTTCGGCCCATGAGGTGAGGCCTGTTCATACCCCCTTTGCTCCATATCGTGATTGCCCCCACAACCATCCTCCCTCCCTAGGAGAAGATCCAGACCATGTTTGAGCAGCTGGCGCTGGTGGACCACCCCAACATCGTCAAGCTGCACAAGTATTGGCTGGACGCCTCTGAGGCCCGCGCGAGGGTGAGCTAGGGGCGGGTGTAGGGCGGAGTGAAGCCACAGGCTGGGTGGGGCAGCATGGGGACCCACCCGCAACGGCGGAGCCCGCCTGCCCGCAGGTCATCTTCATCACAGAATACGTGTCGTCTGGCAGCCTCAAGCAGTTCCTCAAAAAGACCAAGAAGAATCACAAGGCCATGAACGCCCGGGTATGGGGAGTGGGCTAGGGACTGAAGGGAGTCCAAAAACACTTAGGGACAGTAGTGGGGTGGGGGGTTCAGAGTGACCTCGGGACAGGAGCGGGGTAGCGGGCGGGCTCCGCAGGCTCAGCAGCCTTTCGGTGCCCACCCGACGGAGTCGTGCGTCCGCTGCCAGGCCTGGAAGCGTTGGTGTACGCAGATCCTGTCGGCACTCAGGTGAGAACCCGGACTTGCCCACGCGCTTGCCCCCTGCTCTGCACCTTTCCGGTGCCCTCTGACCCGGTTCTTCCTGCCTCCCTTCCTCTATGCTTGCAGTTTTTTGCACGCCTGCAGTCCCCCCATCATCCACGGGAATCTGACCAGCGACACCATCTTCATTCAGCACAATGGCCTCATCAAGATCGGCTCTGGTGCTGGCGAGGCTGGGCGGGACAGGGGGCAGGGTTGGGGAACCTGCGGGAACCCAGGGCAGAGATTGCCCATTGTGCCAGCCTTCTGACGCCTGCTCTTTCTCTCCGTGTTGGCCATTGCAGTGTGGTACCGCATCTTCTCCAATGGTGCGTGGGGCCTCTGGGGTGTGGGGACCTTGGAGAAACTGATCTGCTCAGCCCCGCGCTCTTCCATAGCACTTCCTGATGATCTCCGGAGCCCCATCCGCGCTGAGCGGGAGGAACTTCGAAACCTGCACTTTTTCCCACCAGAGTATGGTGGTGAGTTCCTTATGGGTCTCTAGGGCACCTGACCTGCTGGCTCATCAGACTGATCATCCCTGCCTTGTTCTTCCCATTTCAGAGGTCAATGATGGGACTGCAGTGGACATCTTCTCCTTTGGGATGTGTGCACTGGAGGTACTGGCCACTCTCGACATAGCCTCTTCTCCTCTGGGCTCCAACCCATCTCACCATGTTTGATCTGTCCCTCTACCCAGATGGCTGTACTGGAGATCCAAGCCAATGGCGATACCAGGGTCACCGAGGAGGCTATTGCTCGAGCCAGGCACTCACTGAGTGACCCCAACATGCGGGTGAGGAGCTTACCATGCTCTTCTGGGATGGGCTGCAGGTGCCTCAGCTTGCCCTTGAAGTGCTCTGGACAGCTAGAAGTCTAGCCTAATCAGTGCATTTGGGAGTATACCAGCCGCTGCACTAAGGCCTACCTGGAAGAAAGGCTCATGGGACTCAGATTTCACAAGGGTGACTGGAAGTAGAGCATGGGTATTCGGGGCCCAAGTTTACAGCATCAGATCCTGAGCTGCTAATGGGAAGCCTTCCTCTTCTCTGCATCCATACAGGAAGGCTTTGCAGCACCACTGAGGAGGGAGGATGTGGTGATTGGACCCGTGGGGTCTAGGGTCTTCAGGGACCTCCTCTAGAGCAAGGATCTTCTACCTACCTCCCGCCTCTCCTCTCCACCACCTAGGAATTCATCCTCTCCTGCCTGGCCCGGGACCCTGCCCGCCGGCCCTCTGCCCACAACCTCCTTTTCCACCGAGTGCTCTTCGAGGTGCATTCGCTGAAGCTGCTGGCAGCCCACTGCTTCATCCAGCATCAGTGTGAGGGGCAGAAGGGCTAGGGTGGACCAGGAGCCTGGGGTCAGAACGTGGCAGGGTCTTTGCAGGACCCTTGGCTTGGGTCCATCTCCCTGAGCATTTTTTTGTGATTCGCAGACCTCATGCCGGAAAATGTGGTAGAGGAAAAGACCAAGGCAATGGACCTGCACGCCGTCCTGGCTGAGATGCCCCAGCCCCATGGACCCCCAATGCAGTGGCGGTGAGCAGTGACCACATAAGTCTTTCCCTACTAGCTGCCTGGCTAGCCTTTAGCCTGACACCGCTCATGTACTACCCACTCCATTCTAGGTACTCAGAGGTCTCCTTCTTGGAGCTGGACAAATTCCTAGAGGATGTCAGGTGAGAGCTGGCATGAGACTGAGGAAAATCACTGTCAGGCCTGAGCCCCCAGCTATATACCCCCTGGTATATCTCCAGGAATGGGATCTACCCACTGATGAATTTTGCGGCTGCCCGGCCCCTGGGACTTCCCCGTGTGTTAGCTCCACCCCCGGAGGAGGCCCAGAAGGTCAAAACCCCAACCCCAGAACCCTTTGACTCAGAGACCAGGAAGGTGAGTCCTGACTTCTGTTAAACTGTGCTGTCTTTCAGAACTGTCCACAGCCAAATAATGGGTGCCTTTCTCTGGGTGGGGTGGGGGGGCTCTGTCTCCCCATCCCAGTTCTCCTCCAGACTGCCAGAGACCAAACCCAAGCTGACCGCTTTATGGACACTGTAATCAAGCTGAGACACCCATTTCCCCAAGGCTTCTTGCTTTTGCAGCCCTTTCCCTGTCCTGTTGCACACCCCATTCCGGAGGCTTTGGCCATGTCCATTCCTCAGCGGGACCCAGAGCCATCACCTTCCTTCCTTCCACAGTGCACCCTAAGTTCAAATGCCAGTAGTCAAAGTGTCCTGGATCCTGGCTGCCCAGAGAGTGACTAGAAGGCGGTGTGAGCCCCAGCCTCCTGGCCTGCTGGCATCTTGTTTTTCTGTGCAGTCACATCCTGGGACACAGCAATTCCCCTCCCCACCGTTTTCAAGGCATTCTGTTCACCACTCAGTACTCAAACCCAAACCTTTGCTGACACCTCAGTGCTGGTGCAATGAGATGAGCTTTCTGGGCGTCCCTTGGAGATGCTTAGCGTTTTTGAATCTCTGCTGATCTTTCTGGGCTCCTTTGCTAAGCAGTCCTGAGTGGCTAATGTAACTTCCCTGCCCTCAGGTGGTCCAGATGCAGTGCAACTTGGAGAGAAGCGAGGACAAGGCTCGGTGGCACGTGAGCAAGGGTGCTGGGCAGGGTTACGGGGGCTGGGGAGGAATCAGTGCTGGTGTGCTGACCATGCCATCACATCCACAGCTCACTCTGCTTTTGGTGCTGGAGGACCGCCTGCATCGGCAGCTGACCTATGACCTGCTCCCAAGTAGGCTGAAAGGGGACCAGGTGGCGGCCTGGGGCTCGGGCGGGCGCTGGCTGGTGCCACCACTCACTTGTCCTCTCTTCAGCCGACAGTGCCCAGGACCTTGCTGCTGAACTAGTGCATTACGGCTTCCTGCACGAGGTAGGCGGGGTGCACTGCAGGTTCGGAAAGGTGCAGGGTGGCACGAGCTGCCCACGACTCCCATGTCCCCTACCCATCCACTGCAGGACGACCGGACAAAGCTAGCAGCCTTCCTGGAGACCACCTTTCTCAAGTACCGTGGGACACAGGCTTGACCTTCCCAGTCCTGGCAGCCCAGCAGGGATACCAGGGCTCAGGGTTGTCCACTTGGCAAAGAGCGCCATACTGCTCAGAGCTGCCTTCTGCCTGTGTTTCCTGGAGCCAATGAACACAGGCCCTGCTAGTGAAGACACCTCCCCCCCCCCCTCAGCTTTCTGCAGCAGTGTGGGTCCTGGGGTGGTGATGGAGTCCCAAGCCTGAATGGGAGTGGAGGATACAGGTCATTTAGGGGAACTTCTCCATCTCTATTGGACAACAGCCATACATTCAGGTGACATAGAAACCTAGGGAAGGAGCCTGAACTCAAAAGTAATAGAGCCCCTTCAGGTGTCAAATGCAATACTGGGCATCAGGCAGACCAGAGACTTGGCTGGAGACTCAGAGGCTAGAGAGCTTGGAGTTGGATCCCAGGTCCCACCCAGAGTAATCCCAATCCCATGCATACCTGTCCTGAGCCCCCTCTCACTGATCTTCCACACACTTGAGACCAGGACCTGTGTCTTCCACAGAGTCCTCCAGCAGGATCAGCAGGATCTTTCTGTTCTTCATTCTTGAACTGCCTGTCTTCCAACTTCAAATTTAAAGTCTTTAATGCTTTTTAAATGTATGTATAAATTCAATGCGCTCAAGTTCCTTCTTAAACAGTTCTTCATATATGAAACCAGGAAAGACACTACTGTGTTATTAATAGTTCCACATTGCTGCTGTCACGTTTGTCACAAATCCAGTGGCTTGAGACAACACTAATACAGTTCTGTACATCAGAAGTTTGATACAGGCTCCCACTAGATTAAAGCCCAGTCATCTGTGATTGAAGTCCTTTCTGGAAGAGGGATGTAGAGTGGGGATGGGGCTCACCTCCTGCTCCTTCAAGCTACAGGTAGAATTCACTTCCTTGCCATGGTAAGGCAGAAATTCCTACTTTTTTACAGCTACCAACTAAGAACCCTTCTCAGCTTCTAGAAGCCACCAACTTTTCTTAATTCTCCTTCCACCTTCAAGACCAGCAGCGTCAGGTTGAATGTGTGTCATGGACTAGCTGTCTGGTTTTCCACTGCCTGGAAGGTTGGGGCCTTTTGTGAGTAGGTTGGACCCACCTAGATAATCTAGGATGATACCCCCTCAGGGCCTGTAGCTGAATCACACCTACAGAGCACCTTTTCCTACGGAGACTAATCATCCTGGGGTTTGGTGCTTAAGAGAATGGACGTGGGCACACGCAGGGTAGGGGTGTTGCTGTGTTGCCTACCATACCATCTTAACCAAAACCAAAACCTAAAATAAAGCAAATTTGTCATGGGACAGCTAATAAACTGAATGAACACTGATTATGCATGGTCTGACATAGTTTATTTGGAAAATCCGTAACAGACTGTACACGTGATTAAATTGAACGCCAAGGCATCTATGCTGTACTTTATCTTGTTCAGCTTATCTCTATCTCTAGAGATAAGATACAGTTTTGCTGCTGTTGCCTGGCTTGCCTGGAACTCAGTATCCAGACCTGGCCTGTGCAGTGTTTATAGGTGTGAGCTACCGTGCCGTACTGCATATTGTTTTAGAAGTTGAATTGTTGGGGACACAGGGTCAATAGTAAAAAGCAAGTACAATCTTCTGCCCTGATTTTCCACAAATTTCAGTCTCGTAGCCTCAGCCTGGAGCTCACTCCATAGGCCAAGCCTGCCTCAAACTCAGAGCTCTACCTGTCTCAGACTCCCCAGTGCTGGGATTAAAAGTGTGTGCCACCATGCTATGCCACTAGCATGCTTTGGGTCCTGTTTATTGCTTTTTATATGTTAGGTGTTCCCACATGGCAGCTTGTCAGGCTAGTCACCTGCCCACCCTCTGAGCCAGCATCCTATGAGTCTGATGGGCATCAGAGCTGTCTGAGTTAGTGCCAGTCTCAGCAAGGAACAAGGTGTCCCAAGCTATACTTTCTTTCTTGCACAACTTTTTGTTTTCTCTGAAGTTAATAATTTTCTTTTTTTGCTTCGTTTTTTTTTTAAGCATTCATTTGGCGCTCCCCCCCCCTCTCTCTCTCTGTGTGTGTGTGTGTGTGTGTGTGTGTATACCATAGCACAGAAGAAGGTCAGAGGGCAATCTGTGGGAGTTTGTTTTCTTTCCACCATGTAGGTTCAATTGAACCCACTTTATCAGGCTTGGTGCCGAGCCCCTCGCCTGCTGAACCTCTCACCAGCTCTTAGCCTTAGCTATGTGTTTGCCATTAATTCATCACTGGGGTCCTCTCAATATTTAGGACCAAGTATGACCGGCCACTGTTTCTCCTTTTACAGGCTCTCTGCTGTTCTCTTGTCCTGTATTGTAGTTCATGTAGCAGCATGTATTGCCCTGCACCAGGATTCTATGGCATGCTCTTCTCTCTGGGCCCATGCGTTCTTCTTCCTTCATTTATGGCACCTGAAAAGAAACAGCCTTCAAATTGCCCGAGAAAAATATATGGGAAATTATGGAACCTTTGTCTGTTTGTCCTTATTCTAGTCTTACACATGACTGAAAATGTACCAGGGTACAAGAAGTTTGCTTAGCTGAGAATCCTTTCTTCTCAAGATTCAAGGGTGTCAGGTTACATTCTTCTAGTTCCAGGAATTGCGATGCTTCTGAGTTCTGACCTTTTCTGTAAGAGCGCTTCTGTCTCTCCTGCCCTTTCTTTGCCCAGTGTTTTGGAAATTATCAAGAATTCACCACTGTAAACAAAAAAAAAGAAAAATGACATTTTAGCAAATTGTTTATTGATTTCTCTATTTCCTAGATAAATTATTGAGGTGTATATTTGTAGTTCCTATTGTTTTACATTTATTTATCATCTGTTTATGTGTATACACACGGATGCATGAGCTGATCATGAAAGGGCTTAACGGCAGAAGTGAAGACTTCTTTTTTTTTTTTCAATATATCCCAATCGCTGTTTCCTCTTCCCTCCTTCTAATCTCCCCATCCCTCCAGATCCACCACTCCTCCGTTTCCCTTCAGAAAAGAGCAGGCCTCTGGGGATATCTCTGGAACACTGCATAACAAGATACAGTAAGACTAGGTACAAACCCTCATATGAGGGCTAGGCGAGGCAACCCAGTAAGAGAAAAAAGGTCCCAAGAACAGGCAAAAAGCGTCAGAGACACCCCTATTCCCATTGTTATATGAGTCCCACAAAAACACCAAGCTAATAACAATAACATATATGCAGAGGACCTAGTGCAGACCCATGCAGGTTCTGTGATGGATGCTTCAGTCTCCTTGAGCCCTTAGGAGTCCTACTTAGTTGATTCTGTGGGCCATGTTCTCCTGGTGTCCTCCACCTCCTCTGGTTCCTTCTTCTCCCTCTTCCTCAGGCATTTCCCAGATTCCAAGGGGAGGAGCCTGATGGAGATCTCCAGTCTGGGTGCTCTCTCTGCTGAGTGTTTGTCTTTGGGTTTCTGCATCGCCTCCCATCAGCTGCTAAGGAAGGCCTCTCTGATGACAATTGGAATAGGTACTGATCTGGGCTTCCCCCTGCCAGGGTGGCTTCTGGTAGAGCAGGGAGACAAGGCTTATTTTCAAAAGCAATTCTGTGAAATTGTGAGGTTCAGGTATTTTACATGTGTAGGACTCAGGAGAGGGACATTCCCCATTGGTAACTCTAAGAACCTGGTCCAAGCTGGACGGTGGTTGTACACACCTTTAATCTCAGTACTTGGGAAGCAGAGGCAGGAAGATCTCTGAGCTGGAGGCCTGCCTGGTCTACGGTCTAGTTCCATGACAGCCTGGGACACACAGAGAAACCCTGAGACGCACAGAGAAACCCAGTCTGAGAAAAAGAAACAGAAAACCTAATTCAGCTACCTCTGAAACAGTGGTGTTTATAGGCTGGACCACGCCATTATACGTGAATACAGGTTCTTTGGAGTGAAAGTAAAGCAAGGACAGGAAAATCCAAGTGGGGGCAACCAGATGCTGGGCCATGTGTGGAGCAGGCATTCAGAAGCTGTTTTTGCTAAATCATTAACTCTTTGCTGACTCATAAGATAGCTGAAGCCGTCAAATGCTGTCACCATGCGGTTTCCTCTGGTTAGTTCTTCTAAAGAAGACAAACTCAACATCTCAGTGAATTTAGAGGTTTTAGCAGCTTGCGAAAGACCTTTCTGAAAAGTGTTGTACGTTAGTATCAATGGAAGCTACCACAAGAGGGTGGTGCCTGAGGTTCCCCCTGGTGGAACCTGGTGGAACCCCTGGTGGTTCCCTGGTGGTAAGATCCAACCCTGGGCTGGGGGTTGCACCATTTTCAGAGGTTCTGGTAGGTCCATCTTGTTTTAAATCTTGGAGAATACTGACCAATGTGATTACAGTTTCTATTTTTTTTGGGGGGGGGGGAACCTTTCAACTTTGTTTTGTTTTCTTTCTTTTTCTTTTTCTTTTATTTTGGTTTTTCAAGACAGGCTTTCTCTGTGTAAATAACCTTGGCTGTCCTGGAACTTGCTCTGTAGACCAGGCTGGCCTCAAACTCACAGAGTTCCACCTGCCTCTGCCTCCTAAATGCTGGCATTAAAGAGGTATGCCACCACTGCCCTCACCTGGCTGAGATAGGATCTATTTAATATCTGGCTATCAGAGCTAAACAACTTGGAAAGGTAGACTAGGATGGCATCCAGTTTATAGAGATCCGCCTTGCCCCTGCCCTGTGTCTGAGAGCTGGGATCAAACGTATGTGCCACCACATTCAGGTCAACTTTATTTTCCAATCTATTAACTTGTTTTCATATTTGCTTTTAGTTTTTCAAGACAGGGTTTCTTGGCTGCCCTGAAACTCACTCTGTAGACCAGAGTGGCCTTGAATTTAGAGACCTACCTGTTTCTGCCTCCTGAGTACTGGGATTAATGTGTGTGTCGCCATCACCTTTGGGCCATTTTCATTTTTTTCTTTGGAAGAAATTTCAGTCAGTGGTCTCTTTTTTGAGACAGGGTTTCTCTGTATAGCTTTGGAGCCTGTCCTGGAACTCACTCTTCAGAGTAGGATTAAAGGCACGTGACACCACCGCCCAGCTCAGTTGGTGGTTTTTATATTCTTGTTTTTTTGGAATGCAACATCTTTTGGGTATCTTTGATTATACTGCTTTCTCAGGGTTTTTTTGTTTGTTTTGTTTTGTCTTTTAAGACAAGGTTTCTCTGTAACATTCCTAGCTGTCCTGGAACTAGCTCTTGTAGACCAGCAACTCAGAGATTGGTTTACCTCTGCCTCCCTCCCAAATGCTATCATTAAAGGCATGTGCCACTACCAACTGATTTCAATTACTGTTCTTCTTTTGCTTCATTTATTGCCTTGGTTCCTTCTGAGTCTTATTTCCTCACCCTTCCTTGCTTGGTGATTCTGGTTGGCTCGTTGTGCTTAAGAATGAGATGCTAAACCGGGCGGTGGTGGTGTATGCCTTTAATCCCAGCACTTGGAAGGCAGAGGCAGTCAGATCTTGGAGAGTTCGAGGCTAGCCTGGTCTACAAGAGCTAGTTCCAGGACAGGCTCTAAAACTAGAGCAAAACCCTGTCTTGAAGAAACCAAAAAAATAAATAAAATAAAAATAAATAATGAGATGCTAAGCTGGGTCTCAGTGCTTCTTTTCCAGAGCGAAGCTAGTTTGCAGCCACTGTTGGCAGAACCAGACCTTCTAGCACCATGTGGTAGGGGCAGAAGTCTTGAGGCAACTACGTTTTTGTTTTGTTTTTTTCCTATCTGCGCTTTTCCCGGAAATTCCAGACACAACCGTCATAAACCAGTCTGCAAAGGCAGCGCCCACCCTTCCCCAACTCCCCAGCAGTTCACTTCTCTGCCCTCTTAGGCTTTGTTTGTTTTCAATATAGCTCCTGTGCTACCAAAGGGACTCCGTAAGGGGAGGAAAACATTCTGCCTTATTTTGCTAGAGATCTCTATATTAAATTCTAAAATTTTCCGGGGTGGAAAGCACAATGGCTATCTGGGGCAGCTAAAGGTGCCTGAGCTTATTTGGTGATGTTTTGCAGGCAGCTTTGGGACTCGGTGAAACTCAAGACAAACGTCAAAGCAGCTCCTCCGCACACAGCACAGATGATCATACAGGTTTAAACATACACAACTTAGGACTTGGGGACCAGCGTGCCCACAGGACTGTATACACAACTGGCTGGGGAACCATCTCTTGGGTCCACCGGCATGTCACCCGTTTTAAAAGGCTACTCGTTCACAAGGAAAGAGATTGTGTTTCCAAATAAATGCAGACTCCTGACTTCAGAGACGGACAAAACAAAGATGCAGCAGTTCTTTTGTCTCTTGTCTCAGATGTCAACGGACGGAGTCGAGAAGGGATCA